GCAGAAGACAGCGGTACCGAGGAGGTTCCTGCCCTCTCTAGCGAACCTTCCTGACAACAGCATGAACACCCTCCGAAACAAAACTATCGTTGTCCGTATCTCCTACATACCACGCTACATTCTGCGTCATACACGAAATGCCGTCTTGGAATGTGCCCTGCTGTTTCAAGTTCGCTTATTGTTCCGTAGCCTTAAGCAATTTCAACATTGTCGCTACTGCTTTCCTGTCTTGTATGGCGTCTCTATGTAATAGATTTTGTCTTGAGGTTATTGACAGACTGATTATAAAACAAAACTGCGAAAAAACAATAAGCATATTACGGAGCAGTCGAACGGCGTGATGCACACATAAACCGACTTGCACTGGCTGCGTCAAATAAGCCCGTTTTTTCGTTTATTAGTACTAATTAAGCAAATGAGCAATCAAATATATGAAAAATCTATAAATTAATAAATTGTTTGGCACAATTGGCTTGTACAGCTGGTATTCAGTATTTTGCAAAGAGAAAACATCAGTGTCAGTGTGATGCTACTCTGCACTCCCTCGAACATTAGCTTAAAATTATCTCTCACTTGAAGCGCTGTTTGAAGCTAGTCTTGCCATGGATTCTACGTTCAGTTTCAGTTTATTTACTTACCATGTGAAACATACATGCTTATATAAGTATACAGAAGGAGGTCCCAGAGCACTTGTCTGAAGCAGGACCTCCTGTCATATTCCATTCCTTTTCAACGTGTCATCGCCTTTTCAGGCAGGATCAGAGAAGGTTGCTCTCAGAGAACCGCTAAGTTTTCATACTGTGCGTACTCGGTATTGCTTAAGTTAGCATGCAGTTCATCCAACAGAATGAACACATGGCTACGCTTACGGGTATACACGTAGTGTATTAGTTTAGTTGCAGTGCACATGCTGAAAACAAGTTTAGTCCATCTTATGTTGCTCTTCTTGTCCCATTTTAATGCGTCCGCCCTTTTCGCATTGCTGATTATTCAAATTTGACTGTTCTTTCTTCTGATTGAACACAAATCATTTGTTAGATGTATATGTTATATCAGAAAAAATCTCCACCTCACCCTCAATGGGGAAGTTAGCGAAGCCATAGATCTGGCGGAGTGAATATTCTATGGGTCATTTAAATATATTGTGTATTATTATTGTTGGCTACCCTAAGTTTTAAAAAATCCATAAACACAAAGGTGGCCTTCGGAAGAAATCCTAAATATATATATATATATATATATATATATATATATATATATATATATATATATATATATATATAGTCGAAAAAAGGAAGACGACAAACGTACGAAACGAAGTTTTTACTAACGTTTCGGCAGGTGGGCCTGCCTTCGTCGGAGTAAATGATGAGAGGCCGCGCAGGGCCTATTTGGGCGGCTGGCTCCAGTATCACGAGCATGCGTAATTTTTCGATTTTCATGCTAAGTTGCAGATCAAGAATACAAGTGAATCGATAGATGTGATTGTATGAAATACACGTGACATTTCACAATAGTCATATGGCATATCTTACATACATGGTAAATTGTGTGCATCGAAGCAGGTTTATAAGACAGCACTAAAAAATAAAAAATAAAATAAAATTGGATGAATAGAAACACGCGCTGCGCAGATTCATACAGGGTACCAAAGGACACATAAATCTTGCATGAGAACACAAATCTCTAAGGATAATCTATGAAATGAGCAAAATAAGAAATGAATAAACAGAAAATTGAAAAGGCAAAGTTGATAAAAAATATATAATAACTCAATGCAAGAGTTTACAAAGGTATGCATGACATAGACAGGAGACAATGTGTACGCAATAATACGAAAATAGCTGAACAAGCACGGCAGACATCCACCAGTCATTGTTAAGTGTATTAACGAACTAAGGCAACATGCTAGTAAGTGTTCCCGGGCTTTCGTTCATTCCGTTTGAGAGAGTTTGGAATTTATGAATAAGGAATGACTCTCTAATTTCGCGATCATGGTGTGTCTTGAAACCAGATTCAATTATTGTGGCTTGGATGTTACTGAAGGAATGACCTGTGTCGGTGACATGTCTTGAAATTGGTAAGTGAGGAAGGGCATGTACATGAGCTCTATGATTGTTGAATCGGTACCTAAAAGCAGTTTCAGTCTGACCGAGATACTGTAGATGACAAATTGAGCACTCCAGCAGATAAATGGCGTTCTGTGTGTCACAATCGAAATTGCCTCTGATATTTATTTTGAAATCAGTCGCTGTGCTGGTGACACAGGTTGTCGTAGTCATGTGAGCGCACACTTTGCAGCGAGGTTTTTTACAAGGATGGCAACCAACCAGTTGAGTGTTGTCATCACATTTGGTTTTAGACGAAGTTAACAAATCGCGTAGATTTTTGCCTCGTCTGTATACAACTCGTGGTGGTTGTGGAAAGGCTCTTGTAAGGCGTTCACTCTGCTGAAGGATGTTGTGGTGTTTTCGGAGAATACTTGTGACATTAGGCGCCGATGCATTGTGTGTTAAAACTAGGTTTACTTCTGAATGACTATTAAGATTTTTCTTGGTTTTGCAGAGCGCTGTGCGTTCTAATGCGTCGGCCCGCCTCACCGCATCATCGATTAACATAGCTGGATATTTCTGTTTAAGTAGAGCACTGCGTAGTTCTGTACAGTTGGCGTTAAAGTCGGACTGTTCGGAGCAAATTCGTTTAAAGCGTAACGCCTGGCTATATGGTATGCTCAATTTGCAATCCCTCTTGTGGCTACTTTCAAAATGTAAGTACCGGTGCCTGTCAGTGGGCTTGCGGTACAATTTTGTGGTCAATTGCGTACCATGGATACATACTGTAACATCGAGGAAGTCAATGGTGCTTGGTGAGTATGAGTGTGAAAAGGATATGGAGGGATGAACATTGTTAAAAGCGGAAATAAAAGACAAAAGTGTCGCTTCTCCGTGTGGCCAAATTATGAAAATGTCGTCAATGAATCTCTTGTAGTAAAAGGGCTTCAACGAACGACTCGACAGGAAGTTGTTCTCGAGGATTCCCATGAAAATATTTGCGTAATTGGGCCCTATTTTTGTACCCATAGACGTACCGCTGACTTGGACATAATGCACTCCATTAAACTCAAAGTTATTGTATTGTAAAATCATTTGCAACAGTATAGCCAAAGTGGAGCTATCAATTGGCTTATCAAGAGTGGAGTGATCATAAGCCTCAGTCACGGCGCGTATCCCATCCAGGTGAGGTATGTTCGTGTAAAGAGATGCAACATCAAGAGTAACAAGAAGAGCGTTGATAGGTACAGTAAGGTTGTTGATGTCTGACAGAAAGTGGGTCGTATCACGTAAAAATGACTGGAACGTGGGAGGTATCTGGCTGATCAGGCTATCAACGTAACGCGATAAGCTTTCTGTTACGGTGCCTATGCCGGAAACAATTGGGCGACCAGGGTTATTTTGTTTATGAATTTTTGGTAACAGGTAGAATCTACCCGCGACTGGATCAAGAGGAATCAGGGAAGTTGCCTTATCACTTATTTTTTTATCCTTTTATCCTTAAGTGATAAGGCAACTTCCCTGATTCCTCTTGATCCAGTCGCGGGTATTCAACAATCATAGAGCTCATGTACATGCCCTTCCTCACTTACCAATTTCAAGACATGTCACCGACACAGGTCATTCCTTCAGTAACATCCAAGCCACAATAATTGAATCTGGTTTCAAGACACACCATGATCGCGAAATTAGAGAGTCATTCCTTATTCATAAATTCCAAACTCTCTCAAACGGAATGAACGAAAGCCCGGGAACACTTACTAGCATGTTGCCTTAGTTCGTTAATACACTTAACAATGACTGGTGGATGTCTGCCGTGCTTGTTCAGCTATTTTCGTATTATTGCGTACACATTGTCTCCTGTCTATGTCATGCATACCTTTGTAAACTCTTGCATTGAGTTATTATATATTTTTTATCAACTTTGCCTTTTCAATTTTCTGTTTATTCATTTCTTATTTTGCTCATTTCATAGATTATCCTTAGAGATTTGTGTTCTCATGCAAGATTTATGTGTCCTTTGGTACCCTGTATGAATCTGCGCAGCGCGTGTTTCTATTCATCCAATTTTATTTTATTTTTATTTTTTAGTGCTGTCTTATAAACCTGCTTCGATGCACACAATTTACCATGTATGTAAGATATGCCATATGACTATTGTGAAATGTCACGTGTATTTCATACAATCACATCTATCGATTCACTTGTATTCTTGATCTGCAACTTAGCATGAAAATCGAAAAATTACGCATGCTCGTGATACTGGAGCCAGCCGCCCAAATAGGCCCTGCGCGGCCTCTCATCATTTACTCCGACGAAGGCAGGCCCACCTGCCGAAACGTTAGTAAAAACTTCGTTTCGTACGTTTGTCGTCTTCCTTTTTTCGACTGCATTTCCTACCGGATCCATTGGATTTATTTCTCGCCTATATATATATATATATATATATATATACATACATACAAAGTTCTACTGTTTAAAAAGTGCAAAATAGCATCCATGACTTTCGTTTACGACGTAACATTGTCTTTGACATAGATCATTGACGTCAATCTGCCATGGTTTGCCAAATGTTGCACCACTATGTTCATATTTATCCCGTGTCCGCTTCCGTTTTTCAATGCAAAGACGAAGTATTATACTTGAGTAAAAGATTCCCTCGATTCGCTGCCAATTTTTCAATGCCCATTTCGTCAACTGATTAAATGGGCCGTACAGTTTAAGGTTTCCTTTTAATAGAAATCATTGCATTCATATTTTACTATTGGTTCCTGTCTTTTCACGTGCAAGTAAATTCATGTCTGCCACACTTGTCGTTTTAGCGACAATAGGTTGACCCCGACAGCTTGCATCTGCGCCATCGAAGCGTTGTTATAGGAAGCGAAAACGTTATGCCCGGTCTGCATTCGCCTTATCCGCTGAGAAGCAACTAGGCGAGGAAAAACGTACCTTCTTGCGCAGTTTGTCGAATGCGCTGTTAAGGTTGAACATGCGGCGTCGCTCTCGGATGTTGGCCGCCCTGCGCTGAGCCACGGTGGCCACCCGGCGCCGTGGCTTGCTCTTCCCGCTGCCGCCATGTGGCGGGCACGCGAAGCCGTTCTGCTGGGCGGCCCCCGCGGGCGACCTCTTGCCCTGCACGGTCATGGCAGGGAAGCGAGAACCCGACGAAGGGGCCGACACAGCCGCGCCTGCACCAGCCGAATGGTGTCCACCGATACCGAAGTGGCCGAACTCGAAGGCTGAGTGGTACGCGCCTGCGGGGGCGCCCAGGCCTTCCCAGGCCAGGGGTGAGAAGGCGTCTGGCGGTGGACCACTGCTGCCGGCTTCAAATGGGTAAGGACCCAGTGGGCCCCCAAAGCCGTGCGCGGCTGCCGCACCTGCAGCGCGCAGCTCAGAGAGGCGGAAGTCGTGGTATGAGGCGAATTCCACGTGACTCGACAAGTCGAGGAATGCCGCGGCAGCTGCTGCAGCGGCCGCCGCGGCAGTAGTTGACGCTCCACCGCCACCGTCAGGTGCGACGAACGCTGCCGGTGCGGGGTGAAGTCGAGCGGACGCCATTATAGGGCAGCACACTGAGTTGCCACGCCAGCTCGCCCGCACCTTTGCGCGCCTCTCCCTTTTCACGAGCCTGGTGAAACACAGCTAAGACAAAACAGCAAGCTATAGCCGCCTGCTGCAAGGTACACCAGCGTCAATTTGTGCACGGCTACTTTCACACGTTGACTTTTCCTCGGAAGGCACCGCGCCACGTCCGCGAAGAGCGAAGGGAGCGCTGACGCTGCCAGTGCAATATCACGGCGTGCGCCAGCCGCTCCGATGTTTTTCACGCTCCGGCTGGCACGACGCGGTGCAACGACGCGCACTCGATGTCGTACGCGGCGGCGGCGGCCTCCAACGGTGGGCGGGGCCAGGGGCGAATCCTCCCCGCAATCTCGTTTTCCCTCGCCGTTTAGCCGTCCACTCAAAGGGACGACAGATTTCCCTCGAGCACGCCCTTCGTGTACTCGAAGCCAATAGGATGAGGGCAACCCGCGGAATCAAGCGTTCTGTGCGGTGCCCATAGGGATGGCCGAGGTGGCTTCCTCGCCTCCTCCTCAAACAAGCAGTTGGCAGTAGGCACACCTTACCTCAGTGAATATTATTTCCATAGAAATTGTTTTTGTTTTTTAGCGTTTGGCCACAGCTGTTCTAAACGAATTAAATAGATGCGTCTCGTTTTGTTGACAAGTCTCACTTCGGAATCCTGTGCAGAATGAAAATTCGCGTCAGTTCTCAGAGCACTGAGACTCCGACTTTCTTAGTGTGAAATACGTAGCTTCGTTATCTAAAAACCGTAAGCAACGGTATAAATTACATTTTGATAAAATGAAACTTCCACGTTACGAACAAAAACATTTGCACGTGTAGGATAATGTCCTCGTCTTCTCCTCTCAGTACTTGGTTTCTCGACGAATAACGCGAAGCGACATCGCTGAGGATGTTGCTGGAACCAATCAAATATTGAATTGCGAATATACCAAGCAATTTTCTCTTGATAATACGGCTGGAGCACTGCACTGCGTGATCAAGCTTGACCAACACAATATTCACAATATTCTCGTTTTGGTGGTTATCGTCGAAAAAGATATATGTATATATATCAAGACAATAACAGCGTTGGAGTATATATATATATAAAATCGCCAACAAGGACGACGTTTTTCGTTTTGATGAATATATACAGATGAAGAAATTGAAGGTCAGATGCTGTGTAAATATTGTTTCCCCCTCGCGCCTAAGCGGCCCACGTTGCCGTTGTTTATGATGGAGGTGTACGTCGCATGAATGGGTTTAAGCGTGACACGTGAATAACCCCCGTACCACGAAAACGGCCGTCGGAAGGAATGGCAACAGGGGTTACGGGGTAGTAAACAGAAGACTTCTACTCTACTATAGTGTTGGAGCCGATGAACCATGAGTGAAACTTATCGCACAGGCCGGTAACCCGCGTCAGGGTCCACAACAGTATATTGTTTCCAGTATTGGAGTGAACTACGCGGTGGACTCCATCCTACACACTAAACGAAAATACCTTGAAATAACCTCAGAAACTGGGTAACCTCTAGCACTACTTTTTCTGCGTTTTTTTACCCCAACCAGTCGAAGTAAAAATTTACTCTCGTGGTAACTGAGTTTTTGAATGTACACTCTAAGCCGAAAAGGACTAAAGTAGGGTATGCCATTGGTCCTTTAGGGGACTAAATGCGGTGCCACAGATTTTGAACCAATTTTGGACTAACTGCGGGAGTAACTGCAAGGGTTCAACTCCTACCCCAAGCACTTACTCCATTTGGTTTAAATGTTGGTTCCAGTAGAATGCTCCAGTGCGACTAACAGTTGAACCGTCTGGACCAATGGCGAAAAATGGCGACACTGCATTTGTGGAGTATATTTTATGCTTATTCCAATTTAATCAGCTTTGAAGAACATAGTATGTTATTCATGCAACACACACACACACACACACACATACATACGCACTATTATTTCAATGTAAAACACTGCACCAACCGCGCTACACTACAGAGAACAGACTATCGGGTAAATATAGCACAGTATTTTGACCTCCCATGTATTGCCAGTGGGCGACTTTTACTCGGCTTAAAAAACAATAAACGTTGACACCGTAACGCGAAAACTTACATGGGCGAATTCGTAGCAGCGATGCGCACCGATCTTTTAATATGTATCCATCTAATCTTCAACATCACTACAGCCCGAAAGTACGAATTATAAGCTGGCATTTGATCATGTCGGCCGAACCAGCGTTCGCAGTGCTGGCGCACGAGTCCGCAAATACAAACATAGCAGCGGCCCTTATGCGGGAAAGCCGGCGAAGCAGCCAGGCGCCCCGCTGATGCCATACCGTGTCGGCTTGCCGACGGCGTCGCTAGGCTTATGACGAGTACGGCTGGATGACCACCGACGATCGCAACATGCGGCTCGCGTGCAGTTCACGTCGTCGTTATTTTATAGTCACAAATGAACAATAGGTAAGTGTCCTCATGTTGTTACCGAGTGATGTAGATATCTGTATACTTACAGCGACGAGACCGTTCGCAGGCACGGTTCTTTCATCGTGCTAGTAAGTCGCTCCCTTTGTACCGCCGGCCACACGATTGGTCGTATGCGCGATCTCCTACACGCTGGATTTTTGAAAACGATTGTCGCATGGAGAAAAAGACATAAGTTTGCCTGAGCTACACTGTTCTGTGAATTTGTACGCGACGTTTCCTTCGCTTGTGCCGGCAATGCACTCACACCGGCAGCCAGCTTGATACCGATGACGTACGAAGCCCTACTTTTTCTATATATTGCTTTGAACTTGTGGTCACTGTGTGGGTACACGACCGCTGACGAACAGCTTTACTTTTATTAGCGTTGTCAGTGTTCTTAGTAGTTCGAACTAATTCTGCACATTGAAGCGAGTTGTCCGCATTGCCCGTGTTCGGCAATTTTCACTTGGTTTCGGCCCGCCCGTACCGGCACGGTGAAAACGCGAGGGCACTTGCTGTGTGCACTGACTGCGTGTTGTACTACTTGCCTCTCGTAACATCTTCTATTCGTTTCATAGTGCTTTGCTTTCACAGTGGCGAATGGCCTATATAACTTGTTTTCATGATCGCCGACCACGCCGTGAATCGCAGTGCAGCATCGACAGGAGGCGATCGCGGCGCAGTTGCCCTCCCCGTTGGTCACTGCATTGCCGGGCGTTTGCGCAAGACACGCCTTGTCACGCATTTAGTACTCTGTTGGAAGAACCGTTCGTCCGTTGGTTCAACGACTGCAGTGTGTCCAACTTTGCTGAATTTCGGCTTAGAGTGTAGGAAGGGTAGTAATTATTTACCCCACAAAAATAAGCCCAAAATGGCGTTTTAAGCAGGTTATGTGCGCTTAATCCCAAAATACTAACTCCCTTGACAGGGCATAAAATGGGCTGAAACCATTGTTTTACCATGATCATCAAAAATTGGAAAGTATGGGAGTTAAACCAGCCTGAAATGGGAGTGACTTAAAAATAAAACAAAAAAGAAATTGCCGTGGGTCAAAAGGGTGTATATCTAAATACGCCCAATTAAACAAGAGAAAACAAGCGAGAAGGATCGTTCTATAAGCCTCAGCGTCAATGTCACAAAAATTATTTTTGTTGGCAAGTTTGAAAAAGCCCGCGCAACGTCGACGCTCTTCAAAAAGTTTATAAACCCCGCCTTACGATCCGGCGTATCAAGAACGACACGCACGCCGGCGAAGAAAGTGGTCCAGACTATGCCAACTCTTGTACTTCAGAGCGCTGGAAAGTGCGTCGCTTCTGTATTACATTTTGTTCGTCGAGGCAGCCAGCGGCGGCCGGGACGAAGTCGTCGGTGTTGTCTTATTTTCCAGCCGAGGACACATTGGTGTCTAATTTTCAAACCGAGGACACATGGTAAGTAAATCCGAATGAACTTTGTGCACTATTTGTTCGTATGTGTGTGTGCTACGGCAACCCAATCAGTTGTTATAAGGCTCGCGCTGGGTTCAAATTCGACATTTGTTCTCTCCGGAGTGAAAGCAACAAAACTCACATGGAATTCACTCGCTTCACCGCCTAAGCCGCCGGAAACCGACGCCGCCAAGCCGGAACGAAGATATTTTCCCGTCACGCGAAAGTGGACCCTCTTTCCCATCCACGGCCGACTGTGTAAAAACCATGCGATCTAAATAGGCGGCCGAATATGCAAAATGGCGTTGAAAGCGTCGGCGGTGTCACGCAAAGGCTATAAATCCAAACTACTCGTGCAGCTCGACGAAGCTTCACGGCCTCAACGAGGACGCAGTCATCGAGATCCTGGTTTGCATTACGATCGCCGAGATTACTGGAAGTAGATGGTGCAGCCATGGTGCAGCTGCAGCGAGTCGGCATGCCCGAACTTGTCTCGTTTTCGTGCACAGCCGGCTGAATTTGGTGACGCCGCAGCCGGTGCATTCGGTCATGCTGTTTTTGCTGGCGTATATCTTCCCAAACGAAGTTTCAAAAAGTGCGAGCTGTGTCTTTACAGTACTTTGCGTGAAAACTGGAATTCGGTATGGAACATAGCGCTCAGAAAGCAGGCAAACTCGAATTATTTCGTCAAAGCAGCGGCGGCCGCATCATTCCCGGGCCCATAACAAATGTGAACATTTCCGACGCGTGCAGACGTGGTTTTCCGGCCGCTCTGGTGTTTTCGTTTCACTTCTCAACAGGGGCGCAGCCAGGGGTGGCACACATCATGCCCGTGCCCTCTCCCCCCCCCTCATATTTTTGTTCGTTGGCATATAGTGCAGAAAATAGCCATATTGAAAGGGGTGCTCCCCCCCCCCCCTGCGGAGAGAAAAAATTCTGGCTAGGCACCCATTTATCATGTGTGAATGCGGCACTTGTGTTGCCAGCCCGTACTCTTAATAGCTTCAATCGAGGGGTAGGAAAATTAGTAATGGCCATACATGCAAAGAGTGTGCGACGCAAATTTGCGGTTCTGTTGCCAAGGCCACCGTGGGGCTGTCGTAACGACACTTGAGATCATCAAAAACCTCGCATTGCTTTGGTGTGCTTTTATTTGGTGCTGTTAACGCTCGGTGTTTCGAGCCAAGACTTGTAGCATTCGGCCAGAAAGTTCTTCCATGCAGAGCGAACTTCTTGAGTTGCTGCAGTGCGCGATCACTCAGAATGCGTGCGTTTATAATATTCATCTGATCGAAATGAACGATGAGCAGTATGTTTTTC